TGTATTGGCTTCTAATAGTAATGATAAAACATCGCGTCAATCTTTTCTTCAAGCTATTAAAATACCAGCAGAATACTTGTATCTAGATTAAGCTGTAACATTCTTTTATTTGCTCTTGTTAGAGCATCAAGGGACCTGAACAATGTTTTCATTCATGCTAAGCATCATGAACCAACAGTTTGCATTATTAAATTCCTCTTACTTACTTATTTTATTATTTTATTTATCTGTGGGTCTGCATAGTATATACGCTATTTTGCAAACCCATAACTTTCTTTACTATCATAAAGTAAATCTATACATGTCAGTGAGATTACTCACATAAGCAAACAAAATAGCTTGGGAGGTGGAATAGAAGCCTTCCAGTATTAGAATTAAATTAGTTGTCGGGGCAACAAAATAGTAGCACTGATCAAAACCTCGTTTTTATGCTGAGATCTTTCCCCTTATATATTTAGAGCACATATAACTGTTTAAAGTTTCATAAGGTTAATAGGACACATTCAAATTGATTTCACTTTGTAAAAGTTCAAATGACCATTATCTGAGGGATACAAACATGATTCTGTATGTTAAAAAGCCATCCTGTTTAAAATTTTCTTTTATTCTTTTCAGGTAGTTTAAAATATGATTTAAATTATAGGAAGAGTTTTATTTTCTTGAGGCCAACTTGAATTTCAAAATATAGTATCACTTTACAAAAATTTGCATCCCTAGAATACTGTTCATTGTGTTAGTTTTTAATACAGCTTTCTCACTTCTAAAGCAGTGTTGTGTTAAACTTCTTGCCTCGTGCATTTACTTCCAGTGCCTTGTGGTGGAATTTTAACTAAGCGCAAAGGGACCATTTTGTCTCCTGGTTACCCTGAGCCTTATGACAATAATCTGAATTGTGTGTGGAAGATCACAGTACCAGAGGGAGCTGGAATTCAAGTAAGAATATATGAATTCACTTGTTATCATCATAGGTTTGAAAGTGATGTTTGCAGAGATGACACCACGAAAAGATAATTTATTAGTAAATATTTTACCATGCAGTTAACTGCTGTTATGATGGAACTTGTTACACAATTCTTTTTAGGGGCTGGAGTAATCTGAAAAGATATATACACTGTATCTGCAGCTCTGCAAGGCTCTCTCTGTGTGTGTGTATATCTATACACACCTTTTCTCCAAAAGAACTCGTTACTGGAACATTTATGATTAGCAATATATGTTTTCAGCAAGTCAAAATTATTTGTTGCTGACGGTAGAAATTGAAGTTTCATTTTATAAATATAACTAAATGTCCTTATGAATAAAAAACAAGTAGTTTGCATTCTCAGGTGAATTATGCAGATTTTCCTAAAAAAAGTATGCCTGTTTAGGGAAAAATAAATATATAATTATGAACTTATTACAATATGGGCCTGATCCAAAGCCCATTGAAATTAATGAAAAATTCTTACATTCTTACTTAATAATTTTTTATTCAGATCCTATGTGAGGGATAATCTAGGATGGTGCTTGGAAGGGTAAATCATTCTTTTTCTTACTTATTAGAATTCTTTGAAAGCACTGGCCAAATCATGAATAAAGGCAAAAAACAACTTTTTATAAACCCATGGGAAGAGTTTGTCAAGAAAATATGGTAACTGATGCCTAAAGTGTGGAAGTATTATCTTTGATAGGCATAGCTGTGTAGCGATAGATAGATATGAAAAAGTAGACAGAGTAAAAATATACGTAGCTAATTTTTCAGTGGGAAAAGAGGTTAATAATGAAATGCCCCCATGATTAATACTAAATTCTAACACCAGTGTTTTTCAGTGTATGTATTAAATAGTTTTAATGAGTGGATAAAATAATAAACTGGGAAAATTTAATGATAACACATTACATTATGTTAATCAGTTAAAGAACAAAAGAAAAATGTAAAAAATAGCCAAAATATGAACAAGAAATTTCATCTTCAATAAGGGCAAGTAAATAAATATGGGAAAGAATGATTTAAAATTATAAATGTTGGGTTCAAAATTGTTGTTTACTGTCAAAAAGAAAAAGAAGGTCTCAATATTATTATGGAGAGCTCAGTAATATTGATTTTTTTCAAGCACATAAATTGTCATAAAAGCTAGCACTGTTTTTTACTGAATTAAGAAAGAGTTAGAAAAATAAAATGTATTATATACATTTTTATATCCTATTGTAAAATATTGATTTGGTTTTCTTTTGCATCGTGTAAAATGTTCACACAGGTTCCACCTCTATAAACTGGGACTCTCTGGTCTGGCAACATCTATGGTCCAGCAGAACCATGGATGTTCCAGGGTCAGAGAATCTCAGTATTGTGCGGGGTCCTGGTAAGATTCAGAGGATGGAGAAGACCGAGGTCTTGGTGTGCTGTAGTGGGGAGCAGGAGACCTATATGTGGCCGAGCTGGGCTACATGGGGAGCTGGAAAGCTGCCACACTGCTGGAGGGAAGAAGAGTCAGGAGCTGAAAATTCCAAAGTGCAGCTCTGCTAGGCTGTGTGTGTGTGTGTGTGTGTGTGGCACCACGAGCCTAGCTGATCCCTCCAATCTAAGTACTGGGCTTCCAGACTCCTGGGCCTCCTCCCTCCAGCAGTAGGGCAGCTTTGGCTTATATATAGCTGGGCTGCCGGTGGAACTGGGAAGCCTGCTGAGGCCAACAGCAGGAGAGCCATAAATGGTCTCCCCTACTCTGGCAAAATCCATTATCTGGGACCAGTCAGGTCTCCAGGATGCTGGACCAGGGAGGTCCAACCTGTAAACAGTAAAACACTGAATCAGAGTATTACATATAACCGGAAATACAGTTTAGGTCTATACATGGTGAGAATTAAGACTAGAAGTAACATTTTCAGAACACATTTAAGTCTTATTTCCAAAAGTGTTTTAGGCATGCACAAAGCTACCGGTAAGTCCCTTTTGGAAAATTCTATTTAGGTTCCTAAATCACTTAAGTACCTTAAAAATATTCTCCTTGACTATTTAATGAGAAGAAGGTGAAAGAGAAGAGAAGATAAAGTTACATATATAAATTAATCAGCAATTCTCAAGTTGTGTGTGGGCCCCAAAGTGAGTCATGATCCCATTTTAATGTAGTTGCCGGGGCTGGCATTAAATTTGATTGGGCTCAGGCTTTGATTTTAGCCCTGAGTGGTGGGGCTCAGGTTACAGGTCCCCCATTCAAGGCAGTAGAAGTCAGATGATGACTTTTTCTACTCCCAACCCTCTTGGTCAAGGTAGCAGGGCTCGGACTTTGGTCTCCCTCCTGGGATCATGTAGTAATTTTTGTTGTCAGAAAGAGGTCATAAACCATAAAGTCTGAAAACCCCCAAATTAATTTAACAGTATAGAAAACACCAAATATGGGCCTACTTATTCTGTTCTATAATTCAAGAACAAAGAGCTCAAATTAGATCTAAAGCAACATGTTTAATAAAGTACAAGAGAGAGTTTAAAAGAAAATAAATAATTAAGGGGACAATTCTCTTTTTAAGATTGTAAGAAAAGAATAAAGTGTTGTATGAATAAGAATAGAATCACTAGTTTGCTAGCTAATTATTGGACCTCCAATTACTTTGCTAGAATAAAAATCTGTTTGTTCTTGATAGAAGAACATAAGAATTACCACATCAGATCAGAGGAGTGCTTCATCTGGCTTAGTATCCTTCCTATGGCTCTATGAGAGTCAGTGGAGGCATGATCTTCTTGTGTAACGATGGTAGGCTTCACTAACCACTCTTGAAGTTTTTTTTTTCTTTCCATCCAGGCTTTGAGGGGTTGTTTTATAAACCCTCTCATTAAGTGAGCTAGAGCCAATACTTTTTACTACCTCTTGTGTCCCACAAAGTTCATGAGCGGGCTGAATGCCCACAGAGGAGTTTTGTGTAAAGCTCAATGAAAGAATCTTTTTAGTGGGAAATGCTGGTATTTTGAAAACATTTTTATTTGTGATTGAGGAAGGCAGGAACACATTCTCCCAGTGTTGGGGAAGCCTAGGACATCAAGAGGCACAGTGGGAGTCTTGAAGCCCTGAGAACTCATGCTCAAACTTGGAGGGGTTAGGGTTTCTAGGACTGTCAGGGTCCTGCCTGTTTAGCAAGGTTCATAGAAACTATGAAGGCTCTGTCTTGAGTTGGGGTTCTCAGAGCTTTCATTCTGGTGCCAGGGTGCCTGGAAGTACTGGAATCACCAGCACCAGGGTAATCTGTGTGGCAAGGCCGCCCAAGATCTGGCTTACCTTGGAAGCCTGGGTTCCTCAGCAGTCTGGCAGATAAGCGGGATCCTGCCTGTCTCTTGGTGAAAGTTTGTTGCAAGGTTTTGGCAAATCTGTTATAAAAAGGTTTTCTCACCAACGAACTTTAGAAGTGTACTCCTTAAAAGATGCCAGGGGTTTTCTGTCTCCTACTGGCCAACACTTTTCAGGCCATGTGGGGGGCATTTGAAAATCCCAATAGGTACCTATCTACATCTTTATGTGCCAGAATACCTTTATAAATCTGGCCTTTTGTTCCATCTTCCCCTGAGTGGTCTTCAATTATCCATTCAGCCATATCCTGTCCTCAGCACACAAGTTCATTTCAAAGTCAGAGTGTTGTCCTAATTAATGGTCCCAGAACTTCTAAAGCAGAATCAGAAATTTGAAAATTCACATAGGAAACTCTTTTGTTTTGTTTTGTTTTTAACTTCATGACCTGGGGCTTTCTATTCCCAATGAAGAGAATAGCTTTACAAAGCTTTTGCATGACTGAAAACAACAACTTATAATTACAGTATTGCTACTGGGATATATACCCACAGACTATAATTTACATTTTCCCCTGTAAATTAAATCACATTCTGTGCCTTCCATTTTTATTCGTAGGTGCAAGTAGTAAGTTTTGCTACAGAGCACAATTGGGACTCTTTGGACTTTTATGATGGTGGTGACAACAATGCTCCACGGCTTGGAAGTTATTCAGGTGAGTGAGGAGAATTTATAGTATGTACATTATAGATGCATCTCTTTATTATTAGCACAAAGCTCTTTCTAGGTCTTTTTTCTGTTTCTTCTGAAGGTGACAGTTCATACTTGTTTATAGTCTTTGTTCCAGCCAAGAGGGCCTTCAAACATAATGCTGAAAGATTGAAAGATTGAAAAAAAAAATCACACATGTCATTTAGAGGGCGTCAAACTACATGAAACATTTCTATGGATGTCATCAACCACTGTTGCAATGGCTCAATGATTTAATACATATAGAAACATTTATCTCTTGGCTAAAAAGACATTTTATTTAACCTATTCTGTTTTTTTTTAAGTCACTCTTTATTTAAAAACCAGTCCTGCAGTGGGGCTTGTAAGGGCACAGATCTTAGAGAAATTTTAGTAACAAGTTAACCATCCTATTCTCTTGTTGCCTTCTCAATTAAATTAAATTAAATTATAAAATACATTTCAGTTTAATGTAAATGACTGCCAATTAATAGCCACTGTAAATGACTGCCAATTAATAGCCCCAACCTTCAGCCAATTCTCTCATTCAGCTATGACAGTGCACAAAATGAAAGAGCACAAAAGTTCAGAACCAAAAGAATTGTTTACCCTGTGTTTCTTGGTATTAAAGTGTGCGTAGAAGATAGATTTATCTTTTAAAAAAAACCCTCCATTATCTCCTAAAGTAGGGATTTCATCTTCTTTAAACCAATCCACACACTTTTTGGACTTTCTTTCATTCTACCCCTTCCTTACTTGTTAAATGTCACCAGGAATTACTCTGAGAGGTAGTGGTAGACAAAATCAGGCCCAGAGGTCAGATCTGGCCCACATAACATTTTTCTCCAGCCCACCCAGCTGATAGTAGGGCATGCATACTTAGCAGCCGACAGCATGTGTTCAGCAGCCCCTTCCCACGCCTTGTTCCATTCCTGCATCTGAGCTGCTCCCAGGATTTTCCTGCTAGCTATACAAAGTGAGTGTGGAGGAGATGAGGGGAGTGCTGAAGTCAGGGTGTTCCCCTGCCCCTGTACTCCATTTCTCCAGAGAGGGAGAGATACGGTCAATGGAGCTGCTCCATTTTGAAATGTGGATGGAAGTGACTGAGTGGAGTACCAGAGCAGGGAGGAAGGGAGACAACAGATCAGGACAGATTTCCCTTAAAGAGACAAAATATGGTTTCTCTCAGCAGCAGCCAGCATGGAGAGTCTCTATGGGTATGTCTACACTGCCAACCTAATTCGAAATAGAGTGGTTAATGTAGTCATTTGAATTTGCAAATGAAGCCTGGGATTTAAATATCCCGGGCTTTATTTCCATGTTCCTGGGCACCGCCATTTTTAAATGCCCCGCAGTTTGAACTACCTGTCCGCGGCAGTAGTACTCCTCATTGCAGGAGAAGTAATGGTAGTTTGAATTAGGAGCTTTAATTCTAACTACCTAGCCTGTGCAGAGTGTAGCCACGGGCTGGTAGTTCGAACTACGGGGCATTTAAAAATGGCGGCACCCGGGAACATGCAAATCCCGGGCTTCATTTGCAAGTTTGAATGGCTACATTAGCCACCCTAGTTCGAACTAAGGTGGCAGTGTAGACATACCCTAAGTTACTGTCACATACCCCCAGTCTGTTCCACATTGTCTCTGTGCCACCCACACACAATCACTATCACATACATACTGCTGCAAACACATATTCTGTGCCACAAAATCTGCCTTTCAGAAACTGTCTTCTTTCACACCCACTATGTGTCTCTCTGTAGCCCCTGGCCCCACGCTGCTGCACCTTCCAGGGGCCCAGAGCTGGCCTGTGCCCATGTATGAAAATTTGTGATGTGGCCCCCCCCTGCAAAAACTATTGCTCACCCTTGGATTATATGATCTAACAGTCTGTTCTCACCTTACAGTTGGAAAACCGCTGCAAACTGCATGTGGCACTGAGCAGCCTCTGATATTTCCATGTTCAGCTTGTTTCATCCTAGAACTAACAAAGAGTGAGTGGGGGTGTCATAGGGGGAGCAGCTCATACATGCAAAGGAGCTGGCCAGGGGCAGGTGTGGATGTAGCACTGACATCACAAGGCTTTTTCAGTATCCCAGGTTATTGGTTAAAGGATGTTGGGAGGAGGTGACCTCACAGAGGGTGTGTCTAGACTACACCTCTCTGTTGACAGAGAGATGTAGATTAGGCACGACAAAATTTCTAATGGAGACTCCCTGGAGCAAAGCCACAGGGGTCTCTGAGATTGACTCTGCCCTGCAGCCTGTTCTATCTGTCCATTGTCAGGGACTCTCTGGCTACGTCTAGACAGAATCCCTCTGTCAAAAGAGGGATGCAAATCAAGCACATTGAAATTGCTAATGAAGCAGGGATTTAAATATCCTGTGCTTCATTAGCATAAACATGGCTGCTGCTTTTTTTTGAAACAGAGTTTTTTTAGAAAAAAATGGCAGTCTGGACGTGGATCTGTCAACTATAAAGCCTTTTTTGACAGATCCTCTATTCCTCAAAAAATGAGGTTTACAGGATCTGTCGAAAAAGGCTTTATTTTTGACAGATCTGTGAGTTGACAGATCCACGTCCAGACTGCCATTTTTTTCTAAAAAAACTCTGTTTCAAAAAAAAGCAGCAGCCATGTTTATGCTAATGAAGCACAGGATATTTAAATCCCTGCTTCATTAGCAATTTTGATGTGCTTGATTTGCATCCCTCTGCGGACAGAGGGATGCAGTCTAGATGTAGTCAGAGAGTCCCTGACAATGGACAGGTAGAACAGGCTGCAGGGCAGAGGCAATCTCAGAGACCCCTGTGGCTTTGCTCCCGGGAGTCTCCTTAGTGAGGAGAGTCCTTGAGGACTGAGAGAGGAATCAGCGTAACAGACATGAGCATGAAGAGGAGCCTCTTCGGAGTGTTCTCTTTTCTCAGAACTAATTGAGCCTGAAGATAGCCATCCATGTGTAGAAGGTAAGAACTTGCGAAGGATTTGTGCTGATGAAGATTGATCCACCTTACGCTGGCCAAATTCAAGGCATGGGAAACACAAAGTTAGCTGAGAGAATTATTTTCCCACCTAGGCCTTTGTCTCATATTGGCACTGGGAACACTGGAATTTATCTTCTTCATTTCCCTTTTCCCATAGCTTTGTGTCCCTCAGAGTCTCATAACTAATTGGATGAGCTTCAAGGGGAAGGGGGCAGGGAGTGACTGGGAAATGTAGGACTTTGTTGTTCTCTTTAAGACTCAACAAATGAGCAGAGGAACCAATCACCTTTTTGGAGAATTGTTCTGTTTCTATGCATTAGTTGGCTCTGAGCAGTTTGATTCTTTCTGTCAGTTGGCTGCAACAATCTTCTCCCTCTCTGCCCCATGGCTAGGGAGGTTGGGGATCTGTGAGGATCCAAGTGAGCATCACTTGCAGCAGTGTATTGTATCAGGTGTCCCATCATGTGGAGTCATTACAGATGATAAAAGGTGTAGTAGAGCCTGGTACTTCAAACCTTCCATTGCTCAGCTTTACATGTTAAGCCAACATTCAGCCCACACAGGGCCAGCACACTCTGTGCCCACTATATGGTGGAGCAGCCTCACAGTTCCCCATTCTCCTGATTAACCAATTTTTTGATGATCTGATTTGACCTTGGTCCCAATTCAGTATGGCAAATGGGATTCTCCTGTTCAATTGCTGGAACAATCAATTTTATTTGTATTGTATTATGTTTAAATTGTTAAGAGGAGCAATGCCTTAGCCCAGGGTCAGGCAAGATACAGCCTGCCAAGCCTTTCAGTCCAGCTCACAGCTACCAGGCTAGGACCCTCAGGCAGGGAGCAAACCCAGGAGTCAGAGCAGCTGCTCCATCTGCTTCTCTGTGCCCTGCCCCCAGCACAATCATTCAGCTCCCATTGCCTGGTTCCCATTGGCTGCCCGGGCCCCATCACAATCTCTCAGATCCCACTGTCTGATTCCCAGCCAGAGCCTGTGTAATGGACAGGAATAGTCCTGACCAGCACCCTATGGGATTAAACTCAGGTGCTAGCAAAGGTGTTGGCCAGGGTGCCAGGAAAACCAATTGATATAGAGTGTTGAAATTTGAATTGGATATGGATTCCTTGCCTGCTTTCTTTGTGTGGGAGAGAAAAACCAGGAGTTGAGAGACACAGAATGATTTAAACCCAGGCAGGACTACTTTGCCTCCAAGGAATTTGGGGCATGGGAGTGGACTCAACAAAGAGAAAATTAGAAGTAAGTAAAGGGAAAAGTGAATCCAGTCACATCCCAGGTATTTTTTCTTTATTTTGTGGTTTGGTTTGAACTTCTGTGTGTGAATCTAAATCCTCCCCTCCCCATGTACTACCTTGCATTGTGCCCAGAGACTTTTCTCTGTGTTTTAATTTGCCTTCCTTAGTGGTTCTGTAACATCTAGCAACCAAGTATGCTTTATCAAGTTTATATTTTGTTTTGTAATAAAAATCACTTTTTTACAGTAATGGTTTGATTCTTGTGTCCTGGAATGTCTGTCTGTCTGTGTGTATCTGCCTGCCTCAGACTAAGGGGTCAGCTACCAGAGACTGCAGTTTGTTTTCTCTTTTCTTTGTCAAGCTCTTTTAGGGGAGATTGGGGTACCCCTGGAGGTGGTTTCAAGTGTTCACCCCTGGTTTTTAGGGATAAAAAAGTACTTGATGGTGGCAGCAATTCCCCAAAAACTGTGTATTATGATTTGGGGGGCGGGGAGGAATGGAGGGGGTGTTGCAACCAATGTCTGTAGAGGCAAAGATTTTGAAGTGCTCTTGCAGGCCCTCACCTTTTGCACTCGGAGTGCTAGAGTGGGGAATAGCCCTGACAGCCTGTCTCTGGCACCTCACTCCCTTGCACACTCCAACTCCCTGCCCCAGGTTACCATCCCTTCCTGCTCCAGGTTACCACCTAATACCTCTCTATGACCTCTCCCTCCACTCCATTCCCAGGTCACAACTCTTCCCAGAGCCTTCACTCCTTTTTATAACCCTACTCCAAGCCAGAATTCTCTCCTGAATCCATATCCCCTTCCGGACTCTGCAACTCAATCCTGCATCCCAGATCACAACCCCCTCCTTCACCCAAACTTCCTTTTACCCCATACCCTCTCCTGTACACCAGTACCCTACCCTGGGCTCCCTTCTGCACCCAACCTCTGTCCCAGACCCCACACCCCTTCCATAGAAAAGTGTGGCACTTGACCACTTAACAAAACCTTAGAGTGACCCCCATCACAGACTACTTCTCTGACCTTTAAAATCCTCCTCAGTACCATATATATTTTGGTATTGAGAAGTATTAATATGACTAGAAATGAAGATGTGTAAGAATTTCTTGTTCTATTTAATGGTATCTGTTCATACCATGTTAGTCTGAATCCGCGTAAAGAACAAGAAGTCCTGTGGCTCCGTGTAGACTAACATATTTATTGGAGCATTAGCTTTCGTGGGCAAAGACCCACTTTGTCAGATGATCTCATATCACAATGATTATGGTATTAGCATCTTTTCAGTTCATTCTTAATAAATGATCTTTTCCCAATAAAAATGTGTGAGTGGGAAACCTGAAAATTACACCATTTGTCTTTAGTAACTACAGCTCTCACTGCCAAGCTTGTGATAAATTGAGCATGTTACCAAATCTTTAAGTGGAGCTGGTATACTACAATACCTACAGTGATGTCCTCTAGCTGAAGCTGATTACAGTAAATGCAGTGAACATCTCTATTGTTTTAAACTTTTTTTTCTGGAAGTATATCATATAGCTACTTATGAATAACTCTGGAATTGAGCTTTTCAGCATTGTCTTAATGGAATAATATTTTACTTTCTCTTTTCAGGAACTACAATTCCCCCCCTTCTTAATAGCACATCTAACAACTTATACCTAAACTTTCAGTCAGATATCAGTGTTTCAGCTGCTGGGTTTCACCTTGAATATACAGGTAATGTCCATACACTAGATTAACTCAAAGAGTTTGTTGACAGGTTTTATTTTTCAGACATAACCTCTATATTGTGAAGGGGTAAAATTCAACTTATGGCACAAAATAAGCCAGTCACTGAAATCTTTGAAGCCAGTGGCAACCTTTGATTCTACTGGAAGCAAGAGTAGATGTGCAATCTTTTTTTTGGAGAGTGGCATGTGTAATTTATTTTGTACTCCCCTAAACCTGTTCCACATGTGAATGGTTTTTTTTTCTGATTACACCATAGTGAGGAGTAAATACGGATACATGTTTTGTACTTAACAGCTGCACTAGATGTTGAGTCCATAACCCAAGGCAAAGATTAAGTACTTTTATATATTTTGTTATTACAGTAATTAGAATAACCATGTATTGCATTCATGGATTAATTAATAATAATTTAAACACTGCCAATAATTTGAAATACTTTAATGCATTATTTGCTTTACAAAGAAAAAAGCATTACGTTATGTTCAGAAAAGAGAACATTTGTTTCTGAAATAATCTAGCCAAAGTACTCAAATCTGTTGTATGATTCCACAAACAATCAGTGAAGGAGCTAAATGTGCTAATCAAATACACAGCATTCATTTAAAATAAAATTTTCACATAGAAGAGAAGGATCAGCAGCATAAGTAACATATTCCATCTAAAAATCTATATAGTACAGAACATCTCTCAACTTAGGGAAGTGTTTCTTAAATGGTGTTCCGCAGAAATCCAGGGTTTCGTGAAGTGAAAATAAGGGTTCTGCAGGAAAATTTCATTACAATAACATTTTATTCTTTTAAAAAATAATAATTAATATTTAAGAATGTATGAATTTTATTGAAAACCATTTTCATTTCTGTTCCATGATAAGTGTCCATGTGTAATGCCAGAGAGTGGAGACGATGATGTCACTACTCAGTGCTGTGCGTGCAATCAGTCGGTGGTGTGATCGCCGGTTATATACCATATATAAGACTGTTATAAGGGGTTCCACAAAATTCTTTCAAGTTTAAAAAGGTTCTATGGCCAAATAAAATTGGGAAACACTGACTTAGGGTCTTCAGTGACTGTGGGAAGCTGGAATGTCTATAGAAAAATGAA